GCACTTGAATTCTAACATAACTAACAGAACAAAACAGTCCATCCACATTTAAGGACGAACATGAATAACAATCTCGCACCCAATGTTCTTTCTCGCAGATACTTGAATTCTAACATAACTAACAGAACAAAACAGTCGATCCACATTTAAGGACACACATGAATAACAATCTCGCACCCAATGTTCTTTCTCGCAGATATTTCAATTATTTTTCATGTTCTCTCTCACAGGTACTTGAATTCTAACATAACTAACACAACAAAAACAAAGTCGATCCACATTTAAGGACAAACATGAATAACAATCACTTAATTATTAAGTCGCTTCAGAACATCGTTAGTAATGGGGTCAGACTTTCTCACACGAGACTTTTGGAATTTTCTGTCAAAAGTACTCACGTGTCTTCCTTCACGTATTGCTCGTTCGCTCGTTGATATTACGACACATTCGTCCGGTGATTTTCACGAAATTATTTACAGGCCCATTGTTCCGTTCATGAAAAGACGAACAGATGAACCGGAATGGCCACAAAAAAAAAAATAATAAAAAAAAAAAAAATAAAAAACAAGAACGAATAAATAAATAATAAATAAATAAATAATAAAAATGCTAAAATAGAATAAACAAAGCCTGTGGTCGCTTGCAGGTCGCTACTTACAGTCCCTCCTCGCAGGTCTAATAAAAAAAAAAAACTATTGCTGTTGCCCGCGCGATAAATGGCCTTTTCTCGAAGGTCACAACCAAATGCATTGTTGTTGCTCGCTACAACATATTTCCCAACCGCAACTCCCACAAAAATACACATACATAACAGATCTGGTTCCTTACAGTGAAACACGAGAATCAGCATCACAATTCTGTTTGCACGCGTTCGAAGGAAAGTTTCACGGTGTCATTGCCACAGCCTGGTGCAGTGATTCTTGTTTGTCAGCTGGCAAGTCCTTACGTAATCTTATCCACGCACACTCATTCCTTAGCGCAGAGTCCTTGAGAGGAAAGAGGGATCGTCTCTATTTCTGAGTTTCCACTTCTCAGGAATTTCTGTCTGTCTGTCTGTCTGTCTTTGTCTCTGTCTCTGTCTCTGTCTCTGTCTCTGTCTCTGTCTCTCTGTCTCTGTCTCTGTCTCTGTCTCTGTCTCTGTCTCTGTCTCTGTCTCTGTCTCTGTCTCTGTCTCTGTCTCTGTCTCTGTCTCTGTCTCTGTCTCTGTCTCTGTCTGTCTCTGTCTCTGTCTCGTCTCTGTCTCTGTCTCTGTCTCTGTTCTGCTGTCTGTCTCTGTCTCTGTCCTCTGTCTCTGTCTCTGTCTCTGTCTGTCTCTGTCTCTGTCTCTGTCTCTCTGTCTCTGTCTCTCTCTCTCTCTCTCTCTCTCTCTCTCTCTCTCTCTCTCCTCTCTCTCTCGTCTCTCTCTCTCACTCACTCACTCACTCTCACTCACACTCCTCTCCTCTCTCTCTCTCTCTCTCTCCTCTCTCTCTCTTCATTCTCTCTCTCTCTTCTCTCTCTGTCTGTCTTCTCTCTGTCTTCTCTCTCCTCTCTCTCTCTCTCTCTCTCTCTCTCTCTCTCTCTCTCTCTCTCTCTCTCTCTCTTCTCTCTCTCTCTCTCTCTCTCTCTCTCTCTCTCGCGAGAGAATAGAGAATTGTTAGATGAATAGTAGACTGTCTGTCCGTTCTTTCGATTTCTCCGGAACTGCCATTTCAGCTCCAGACTCTTTTGTTCTTACGTGATGAAGATCTCTGTTATTCTTTATGTTTCCTTCCTTCGCAACTGAACATTTTCTGATGAAATGATTCAGAATTTCAAGGCGGAAGTATGATTTATATTTGTTCTGACACAGATCGTGAGCACTGACTGGCGTACAATGACTGGGTTTTTTATTTCGTTCGTACGGTTTCGACTTTTTTTTTTTTGCGTTGTGTATTAAGACTCTCCTGGATTGTGTAAAAAAAAAAAAAAAAAAAAAAAAGAAAAAAGAAAGAAAAAAAAATCTAGATATTTATTTCTCTTCGCGGACAATAACAATAACAAAATCGTGTTCTTCATATTTCTCTCCTACACGACAAAACATTCTTTTGTTCGTAAACAAGAAAAACATCGTTCTCCATATTTCTCTCTCGTGCGTGAAAACATATGCAAATATTGAGTCATAAAGTAGAGAGAGCAAACACAAAACACTCTTTTCTGAATAAAATGTGACCAAGTCCCCCCCCCCCCCCCTTCATCAAGTCGAAAATTACGACCTGAGAAAGAGTTGGAAAATTCAAGATATTTTTCCATAGGCATATTCTTAATATTCTTTATCTACCAAGAATGTTTATTTTTTTATTTTTACTTATGAGTGTATACTTCGAATATCAATATGATGCCGTGGACGATCATATCAATATGGTATTTTAATTCATATACTGTATAAGTATTTTTATATTTTTTTATTTATTTATTATTATTTTGTGTGTTGAATAGTAAAATACACTATTTTACCCATTTTTTCTATATCGAGTAATGCATCACACAAAATAATTAATTAAATATCACTATTTTCTTAGAAAATATGGATAATTTTGATGATTTTGCCTTACCTAACTTTTTTCGATTTTGTTTTTGTGACTTGTTCTCTTTTCCTTAAAAATTATGTTATAATCTAAATGAATGTATTTTAGGCTATAGAAAATCAAATTCATCAGTAAGAACATTGTACCTCAAAATGCCAAATTTTTGCATATTCTGGGCCATGAAGGAATAAATGGCAGTCTCATATCTTTGGTTAGACTCGAACGTCATTAAGATGATTTAGGCCTAGTGACATAGGCCTAACTAACTATATTTCCTATTATGTGATGTTGTTACCTAAGATTTGCGGGATAACAAAAAAAGGAGGCGAACATTCCGAACGGATAAGCTTATGTGGTTTAAACATTTAGCAGCTCAATCTCTTAGTTAGCAAGACGGTTTGAATATTGCAAATTGCGGTAAAATGTTTAAAAATTAACTTATGAATATCAATTAGCAAGAGATTGGAGTGAACTAATGCACTAAAGCATTTAAAGTATATTTAAAAAAGCGAAAGAGAGAGGGAGGGAGGGATATTATGTCTAAAAGGGAGAGAGGGGAGAGAGAGAGAGAGAGAAGAGGAGAGAGAGAGAGGAGAGAGAGAGAGAGAGAGAGAGAGAGGAGGAGGAGATTAGAGAGGAGAGAAGAGTGGAGGGAGAGAGAGAGAGAGAGAGAGAGAGAAGGAGAGAGGGGAGAGAGAGAGAGAGTGGCGGGAGAAGAAGAGAGAGAGAGAGAGAGAGAGAGAGAGAGAGGAGAGGAGAGAGAGAGAGAGAGGAGAGAGAGAGAGAGAGAAAGAGAGAGAGAGAGGAGAGAGAGAGAGAGAGAGAGAGAGAGAGAGTGAGAGAGAGACGAAGAGATCTAGGAAACTTCAATTCATAGCTAAAAAAAAAAAAAAAAAAAAAAAAGCAGTGCGTGCAATCTCGACCCTGGACTTGTTGACACCTTGATCAAAGGAGCTTTCATCTTGTCCTTTTTACTTGACCTAACATCATTGACGCTTTGACCCTTTTAACCATCTACGCGCATATTGCAATCACTGATTACAGAAATCAGTGAACGGATGTTAAAGTTATTACAAATTAATGAAAAACATAAGAACCACTAATGATATTGGGTTACTTCCATTTACATTTGAAATAAAATTCAATTTGCAATACACAAACACCTTAGTTTTGACAAACTTGGATGATATTACCGTAATTAAACCAACCAAAGAGAGAAAGAGAGAGAGAGAGAGAAACTGACAAAGAGAGAAAGAGATGAGGAAAACCAGACATGAGAGAGACAGAGAGAAAGAGAGGAGAGAGGAGAAGAGAGAGAGAGAGAGAGAGACCTGACAGACAAAGAGAGAAAACCCGAGAAATTTTGTATAAAGCACCAAAGAGAAAAACGACACTACAAACACCACAAAAAAAGATCAAAAAAAGAAAAGAAAGAAAGACAAAAAAAAGGAACTCCGTGGAAAATAGCAGAATGGCGGAGGTGCTTTGTCTCGCCACCAACCGACCTTCTTCCTCGCCACCGACCAGTCCCCGGCAACGCTGCCATCGGACACTCGGCAGAAGGAGACCTGCGAATGATCTTGCTTCGATGGGGTGCGGGAGCGATAGCGTTTTGCTGTTGTCGATGTTGGGAAAAATGGCTTTCTCAAATGGCATCTACGCACTCTCAAACGTCAAAAATAATACCAACGCCACGTGTGTGTATGTAAAAAATATAAAATTGTATACAATGATATTATCCCTAAAATATATTTACCTACTAAAAAGTATATATAAATATACTCAATTATAATAATAATATATAATATAATATAATATAAA